TCGACTTGCCTACATTGCCCACCCCAAGCTTGGGAAGCGTGCTCGTGCTCGCATTGCCAAGGGGCTCCGGCTGTGCCGGCCAAAGGCCAAGGCCAAGGCCAAGGATCAAACCAAGGCCCAGGCTGCAGCTCCAGCTTCAATTCCAGCTCAGGCTCCCAAAGGTGCCCAGGCCACTACAAAGGCTACAGAGTAGGTATCTCTGTCTGCCAACGTGAGGACAGAAGGACTAGTGCGACCCCCCACCCCCACCTCTGGGCTGCCATCTGCATGGGGCTGGGGTCCTCCTGTGCTATTTGTACAAATAAACCTGAGGCAGGATTTGTTAGCCTCTGTCTATGATCCTGGGACTGGGTTTGGTTGCTCCATCTGTTGGTGTGGGAGAAACATGAGTCTGTGGGTGGTGGGGGGTGGGTGGGAGTCAGGAGATGGGGCCGTGTAGTGCAAGAGGAGGACCTAATGAATGAGAAATGATTGAGGGCTTTTGGGAAGCTCGGGCACATTGCTTGCTGGACTGCGTAAGTTGCCGAGCAAAGGGAGTAATTTTTTTTTTTGAGACAGTCTCCTCTCATCCAGGCTGGACTGCAGTGACGCCATCTCACCTCACTGCAAGCTCCGCCGCCTCCGTTCACGCCATTCTCCTGCCTCAGCCTCCCAAGTGGTTCAGACTAAAGGCACCTGCCACCACACCCAGCTAATTCTGTTTTTGTATTTTTAGTAGAGATGGGGTTTCACCGTGTTAGCCAGGATGGTCTCGATCTCCTGACCTCGTGATCCGCCTGCCTCAGCCTCCCAAAGTGCTGGAATTACAAGCATGAGCCAGTGCGCCTGGCCCAAAGGGAGAAATCATAAACATCCTCATGAGGTCTTAACACGTACTCCGAGGGAGGGGAAGGGGCCCCGCTGAGCAGCTCTGCACTCTGGCCTGAGGTGTCCCAGACTTGGGTTCTTTCGATGCACCCGGTCAGCATCCACTGCTCTGGGCTATGTTAGTTCCCCAACAGCTAGGGATCCAGGAAGGCAGATGGTGGTGGCACTGCTTTACTCCCATGACTGGTTCTGACCCTGCTGTGCCCGAGTCAGCTGCTTCACATAGAGGTCTTCATCCTCAGCAGTCAGTGAAGCAAGTAGTAAAATAAGCATTTGTGGAGGCTTCCTATAGAAGGCACCAGGTGGGCACTTCCCAGCTGCACTTAATCCTCAAAACCAGCCTTGGACAGTGTAGAAACTCATAAAGGGGTGCTGTTATGCTACAGCAGCAGGTGCAGCCCATGGCATGTGATCCCCTAATTCCGAAATAGATATTATGATTATCTTTGTTTCACTGGTGAGAAAATGTTGAAGATAATGAAGCTGGGAAGGGGTGGGGGTAGCATTTGATCCTAGGCAGTCCATGTGGGGCCCTAGGAGGCTTCAGTTGCCCAACCAGGGCTGGGGCTGCTAGCTCTTGACTGTAATCCTGGCAGTCTCTGGGAGGCCAACTGCCCCTTGCCAAGGCGTGTCAGGTAGACATGGGGTTGAAAGGGAGCAGGAGCAGGTTGTGTTCTGAAGGTGGTTTGGCCCAGACAGGCCACCAAGTTGATGACTTCCAAAGTGAGGTCCCAAGTGTTCCTGCCATGAAAAAAGTGATCCCTTTACCAAGTGCCAGTCTGAGGGGGAGGCCAGGTCAGGGCTTCAACTGGGCTTAAGATCACACCCAGCTGCTGCCTTCAGCCTCCAGCTTCTACATGGAATCTGCCTTGTGCTCAGGAAGCACAAATTTCCAGTTCTTAAGTCTCAACTCATGCACCTCCAAGCTCTGTCGTCTAGGGCAAACTATATTAGTGGAACATGTTTCTTTATTCTTTTGAGAGAGTCTCGCTCTGTCGTCCAGGCTGGAATGCAGTGGCGTGATCTACACTCACTGCAACCTCCATCCCCTGGGTTCAGGCGATTCTCTAGAATCAGCCTCCTGACTATAGGCACATGCCACCACACCTGGCTAATTTTTTTGTATTTTCAGTAGACATGGGGTTTTGCCATGTTGCCCATGCTGGGTCTTGAACTCCTGAGCTCAGGCAGTCCGCCCGCCTCAGCCTCCCAAAGTGTTGGGATTACAGGCATGAGCCACTGCACCTGGCCAGTGAAACCTGTTTCTGCATTGCTAGTGGGACCTGGCATCCATCACAAGACTTCTGTACGGGTTCAATGTAAAGTAAGCCAGTCTAGGCCAGGCACGGTGGCTCACGCCTGTAAACGCAGCACTTTGGGAGGCTGAGGCGGGCAGATCCCCTGAGGACAAGAGATCGAAAACATCCTGCTCAACTTGGTGAAACCCTGTCTCTACTAAAAATAAAAAAATTAGCCAGGGGTGGTGGCGCAGGCATGTAGTCCCAGCTACTTGGGAGGCTGAGGCAGGAGAATCCCTTGAACCCGGGAGGCAGATGTGAAACCCCATCTCTACTAAAA